GGGCCGGAGGAAAACAGGGTGGAAACTGACTGGGCGGGCTTCATGTTAACCCCGCCCGCGGCGACCCCAGCAGTCGTTTCCCAGGGCAGCAGCGTGAGGGTCGTGCCCGGAGCCTGGCGGGGGCAGAGGACCTCGCGCTGTTAAAGTCACTTCAGAAGCCAGGGATACGTCGTTTGTAAATACGGTGGATGCCGGGCATTGCCAAAGCGCGCGCTTTCCCTGGCGGTGATGCCTTTGGGACGGGGGACCGGCCCTCCAGGCGCAGGTTCTGAAATGGCCAGATGGCTGGAAGCAACAGAAGGAGGACGTTCCGCAGCGGAGCGTCTCGTGGCCTCTTGACCCTGGAAGAGAGGCTGGCGAGTCCGGGTGCCGAATGTGAATGTTCGTATTCGATACGAAGATAGCTGCAGCACACGTGCGACCAAGGAACTCTGTCGCGAGCCCCTTAGTCAGCCATCCTGCGCTAGCGTGCCCCGTGACAGCGTATCACCCCTCCTGCTGAGGCTGGCCAACTGCGTTTTGGCCTCGTGGGGTGCAGGAGCCTACCTCCAGTTTCTGTCCTCCCCCCACCACAAAGTCATCGTCTCCCTTACAAGGCGGGCGTGCTGTAACTATTACAAGCAGGTGGTAGTCATAGTAAATTGATTTAACGTGTGCCTCCGGTGTAGCGCAGTGCAGATACTGAATGAAAGCTCTGGATACCGCCACACCATACTATGACTCGTGCTCTGTAGAATGCATCGTGCTCCACAATAATGCCTGTGGCACCTGGTTTGATCGCTTCAAAGCACTATGCAAAAACTAATTCTTAGTATTGTTATATTTTTAATTATACATACAAAATAATGGGACTCAGGGCTTTTACAATTGCTTATTTGAATCACTTTTAATTGTGCCTTTAGATGTATACAGAATGACAACTATCTGTTTCTCATTTTAGGTTTCATGTAATCCCAGGAGTTTCTTTCTATATAACTTCTCAGAGCACGTCAGGATTTCAGAATGAATCAGGTGAGTTAAGTTTTTCTCAAAATTATTTCCTTCCTGCTAGAAATATTTATTCTGCAGCTCAAATACAGAATTTGCATCTCCATTGTTGGGCCAAATAACATCCTTATGCTGACTGATTTTCCCTTGATTGTCGGCTTCCAGATTCATTCCAATAGGCCCTTTTTCAAGAACCCTCCTCCAAGAAAGCTTGCTTTATGGTATATAAATAACAGCTGCCTGTAGGCCATTAGAAAGTTCACAATCTCGAGTTTACTTCCTCCTTCTGAAATTTCAGTTTCATGGTTTAAAATACGTATATTTTAAGAATAGGTCTTTGTGAGCTTCAGCACAGACTCTGTACTGGAATAAACAGTCCTTTAGCTACAGGTTCTTGAATGAGATGGTGTCTCTTTTAAAGTGAACAACCCAGTCCTTTCGCTGTTTCTGTGGAAGTCAGTCATTTCCATGGAAGGAAGCGTTCTTCTTCAGTTCCTCCACGCAGGAATGCAGCCTCGATGTAGTCTTCTCTTTGCTCGCCTCTGCCCTTTCGAGTAGCTACATTAGCTCCTTTCGGTACAGCTTTGTTAGGACTCTGGTAAGTGGTAAGGCTGCATGTCATGGAGTTCCTGGTTGGTGGACCCGGCAGGTGCCTGGGGGCGGACGGAGAGGCTGCTCTTCTAAGACGTTGCATCTGCTTGAAAATAAAAGACGCGTACGTGCGTGTCAGTGCTGGTTGCAACTGATCTGTTTTTTCCCAGTCCATCGTTCTTGAGCTGCCCTCCCACATGGGCTGAACTTGCAGTGTGGGGTGGAGA